CCTCGCACGACCGCCCACTCGCGCCGTGGGTCGTGCGCGAGCGCCACGCCGCCGCGCTCGAGAAGGACGCTTGCGTGCGTGACGCCCTGCGCCCGCTCCCGCGCCCGCATCCTGTCACCCCCGGGCATGTTGCCCGCACGCCGCCCGCTGCCGCAACGCCGCAGAGCCCGCCGACCTCATTCGCCACCAGCCCGCGCCAACCGAACAAGACCGGTGCGGGCGCCGCGCCCGTCGTACCGCATCATCTGCTGCAGATCATCCCTGCAGAGCTGCGCGAGCTGTTCGAGGTCGGCTTTGCGGCGGGGCGCAACTCCGAGCGGGAGGGGCTGCCCGGGCATCATGCCATCGCGAGGCTGTCCGCAGTGTGCCAGAAACTTCGTGAAGGAGGACGCTGGGGCGCCGCGGAGGAGCGCCGCGCAACGGAGGCGAGGCAGCCACAAGCCTCGCCACGGCCGCGGGGTGTGGGTGTTACCAACGGGCTGGCGCCGGACTCGCACGAAATGAATACTGCGAGCCCAGAGCGACCCATGACGCCGCTCGAACTGACGGCACCAAGTAGTGCCGGGCGTAGCTATGTTGCCGGTCGCGGACCGGACACTGCATCAAAGGCTTTTACTGCGGCTTGTGAGGACCCTTCTCCGTATGTGGCTATTTCCGGACGCTCGGAGAAGAGCTTATCCCGTGACCTGTCAACGTTTGGGGCAGATCAACCTAACACTTCTCGTCCGCGGCATTCCACGATTGCAGCTCCGCGAGAGGCTCTGCCGGCAAGCCGCACAGCGGCCCCGTCAACACCTCTCAAGATCTCGGGAGCAGCGGCGTTCGCAGCACGCGGTCAGAAGAGACCGATGATGGACCCGCAAAACGCTTTCGCCAGGGCATCGACCGACGAAAGTGCGCCCAACGTATCGACCAAGAGGCAAAGGTCACTGAGCACCCCGACTCCTTCGACGTCGGTAGTGAATACTGAGGCAGCAGCGCATGCGACAAAACCCATACACAATATTCCTAAGGGCACTGGGGAGCGTGGAGAGGTAGCAAATGCATTTCAAAGTACGGCACCCCCAAGGGATCGGCTTGACGATGAAGCTCTGGTTGCGGCAATGCCATATCTTCATACACACGGCCTGAAAATCGTAGATAGAGATGAGGCAACCGGTAATGTCACGTGGCTCATGTGCAAATTCTGTTTCGCCTTCGGTGCAAACGGTAGGCACAGGAAGTACTTGAGATTGTATGATCCTCCTTTTCACGAAGCCACTTTCGTAAGGCATCTGAAGAAGGAACATGCAAAACAATGGGATGCTTACCGAGAAACCACTGAAGCCCAGAAGGGAAGTTTCTTCGATGGGATGGACCTGCCATCTCAGGAAGACATCGATACCAGAGTTACAAATATGAAGAAGTGCCGCAACAGCGAAGCTCTGCACCGTTCGAGAGCGAAGGAATCTGCCAGAGAAGCGCCTTTGAAACAAAATGATGTTTATGTTCCTTTGCGAAGCTGCTTTGGGAACGAATTGACTGAAATGGACATACAAGACCCGCAGGTGCTGACATCGAACTTGCATCTAAGCGATGGTGTTCTTGAGGAAAGAAAGGAGACTGAGTCCCCATATAGCAACCGGAAACGTCGTGTATATGCCGTGGAAATCTCATTTCCAAATGATCAGATAGCCATTGACTCAAAGGTGGCGGAGCTCGTTCTACGAGGAGAACTGCAAGCACAAGGTCAAGGAGGGCTGTCAGATACGGAAAGGGGTCTCGCTAAGAGAAATACTACTGTTTCCGGCGTGTCTATCTCAAGTACTGCCTTCTATGTGCCAAAGATGACCCAACTTGAGAGCAGTATTTGGAACATAGTACTCTTCCACCTCTTTTCGGGAGTGTCATCCGAATCTGTTAGTGGTCTAGTAACACTTATGCTGGGAGAATGCCAAGTGTCGCAAGATCCCGAGAACTTTGCTCTCGTGGCAGCCTGTGTTAATCGCGTATGTGCGTTGGGTCTCCATGGCTTGAAACGAGTGCTCGGGCAGAAGAAAGTGTGTTGGGGCTTTTCTCTAGCCACGAGAGCTTGCGACTTATTGGGGTGCACAGCTCTGGAAGTTTTAGTTGTATTTCGAGCTGCGAGGAGCATCCTACATCGCGTTCATCTAGTCACTCTGCAACTAGCCAGGGGTGCTGGACAGGCAGTTATAAACCTGTTGGATTGCGTTTGTCCCGATTGGACCACACGTTTATTTGGCATCTCATCAGAACTTCAGATGAGGCATGGGAAAGAGAAAGGGATCGAAAGGAAAATCATAACTGCGTTGCGCACCAGACAACAAATGCCCAGCACTTTTGAGTACGTGAGTGACACGGCCGAAACTGAGAAGACCATATATCCGTGGGCTCTTTGTCGATTGTCTGATTCTCAATTCGATGCCCTGCTAAATAAGAACATGACAAGAATCCAACAAAGGTTTTCTGAGTCGGACATAGCCGAAATGAAGAAGGAGCGAACCGCGCTCCCTGCGGCATCACAGCCTCCGACCCTCAGCCGGCAAATATTGCAATTCCGAGAGTCATGGTGGTTAACAAACGGCAAAGCTCCTCTTCTAGAAGAGTTCGCTCTGGCTCGCTCTACGCTATGGCTACAAGATCCGGGGAAGTACGGAAGCAAATCTGATCATTCGACCCCTGAACCTGACATAGGACAAAAACACTGCTCTCTGCGTCATGCGCAGGAGGAGGATGAGGATGAGGGTGAAACGAAACCTTGCGTCGACGCGGATGCCGAGCGAGTGTTCTGGGCAAGTGCGTTATTTCAGCTCAAGAATATACCATGTGAAGCAGGAAGCGCATTATGATCACACTAATCGCTTTGCGTGTACCGTAGTCGTAGGGATGCTTCTGGTGGCCAAGACTTAGAGGGAGAAAGGGACCTTGGAGTGTTTTTGTACATATCCTTTAAGCTTGACTTGAGATGGATGAAGGCGAGTGACAAGCATGCATCAGACCCTTTTCGGTGTTCTGAAAGGGACATCAAATACTAATACTAGGAACATAGCTCTAGGGACATAAACATGTGGGAATGCATCGGGCATCGTCGGAACAACCGGCAGCATTGAACTGCTAGTGAGTGTGAATCACCGACAAAGTAGTTGCTTTGAAATGACTTCCACCCGTTCGCTCTTAACGCCGTGCTTGTTGACAAACGAAGGCATGTCTTTGTACAATATGAGCGACATCAATTGACTTGGATGGTCCAAACCGTGGAGTTTGTGCATTTCAATTAAAACGACGGCAGCCACAGACGACATTTCCGCGAATCTTCACAAAAGCCGGGTATCTTCACCCTGACGCACTGCCCCCCTATTCCTCCGACTTGCGACACCTCACAATGACACATCCCTTAAGCCTTTCCACATCGACCTCGACAAACCCTGCGGCCTTAAATAAATACTCCAATTCATCCACCTCAAAGAACCGATACGGCCTCTGCCCCGGCACGAGTTCCTCTGCCCTTACAACGGCCTTCTTGAGCCTCGGATATCGGTCAATCCTCTCCCGATTGGGCAAGTAAGCCAGCTTCGAGAAGGTGGTAGCGAAGAACCTCCCCCCCGGCTGCAGCACCCTTTGAATCTCCGCCAAGCCATCCTGCACGTTCGGCCAACAATGGAGCGCGGCGCCTGAATGCACCGCCCCAAACGCGCCCTCGACAAACGGCAAGCGGGCGACATCGGCCCTGACAACGTCGAACTCGGGCGCGGTAGCGTCCTTGTTCTTGTACTCGACGGTCTGTCTCAGCATGGCATCGGAGTAGTCCGCGGCCACGACGCGGCCGAAGCGGCCGGACGAGGCCAGGCGGCGTGCCATGAGCCCCGAGCCGCAGCTCATGTCGAGCACGGCGGCGGCCGGGGCGGCGAAGTCTAGGAAGAGGTCGCGCTCCTTTTCGATGCCCGGGAATCCCGCGCGCGCAAAGTTGGCGCGCCAGCCCCGCTCGTACGCGGCCGAGACGAGCGGCAGCTGGAACAGCGACTGGCTTGGTGGCTGGGTGAGCAGGTTGCGCAGCAGCGAGGGGGGGGACGACGCCGTGCGCGTCAGGTCGACGTAGCCGCGCCGCTCTGTGGGCTCGAATTTGCACGTGGCGCAGAAGAACGGGAGGGCGGCGTGGGCCGTGCCGCACTCCGGGCATTGGAAGAGCGGGGTCGTCGGCGGGGCCGGCGGGGCCAGGCGGTTCGGGCCAGTTGTGGGGAGCGCCGAGGCCATGGAGGCGCGTGGATTGGAGCGGGGGGAGACGGAGCGGGGGGCGATGAAGGGCGGCGCGCGGCGGAGGGGGAGCGCCCGGATAAAGGCGGGGGGAGCCATAGTGACGAGGTCGGGGAGGGAAGCAAAGGAACGGGCCTGCACCTGAGGACGGTGACTATGAAGATGGAGGTGGCGCCGGTTTGCCCTCAAATGATGACGGCGTCCTTGCTGGCCGTACACGACACCACGTGTACACTTGTCACACGGAGCAGGGAGTTCCGCCTCTCAGGGTCCTTGAGACGGGGTCTTAGCTCTGTTGTAAATGGGCGACTCCGAAAATCCCATTTCCCAATTTATGCACGCACAAATGGTGATTTATGTATACACAAATCCCGTGTACTTCGCATGCTTCTCCTCATGCGAAGTTGATTTGTGTATGACACAAATCTTCCGCTTGCGCATTTTCCATTGTAAGCCTCCAATCCTCTTGCCCCTTAAGCCCGCCACCAACCCATACCAAAACCATCTTTCGTGACACTCTTCCCTTGCCATCGACACCGAGTTACGATGTCCTCTCCCGCTGATGAAGACTCTCCTCATGCATCACCCCCTCAATCCGACAATGCAGCAAATCAAAACGCTAATGCCCCTGCCCACGCCTCTTTCCCCCACCCTTCCGGACCTCCCCATCGTTTCTCCTGCCAGTTACAACCCTCTCACCCCAACACCCTCATGCCATCCACTCACGGACCCCACACTCCTGGACAACGACACACGCTTCCCTTTGTCAATGCCTGTCCTTCAGCCTCTTCCAGTCTCCCAGCGCCGTCTCCCGACTTCAGCGCTTCGACACCTAATGTACCCCCACCATCTCCGGTAGTTTTCATGTCCGAGCCAGATCCAACACGTCCTGCTGCGCCTGCAATTCATCAACGACCGCAAACGACCCGGTTGCCGCAACATGTCCGCCGTCCGCTCAAGCCCCGCAAGAGAATATCGCGGAATGTGGCATCCGGTGAGAGAAGATCGCGAAATGCTCGGGCTCCTGGTGGACGCGGAAGCGGCTTCACGCAGCAAGAGACCAACAATCTTCTTGAATTGTTAGTAGAGCACCTACGGCTGTGCAGGGATGAGTGGGAAACAGTTTTGCGGCTTCACCGTGATCGTTACCCCGGAGTGGAGAGAAGTGTCGATTCAATAAGGCGAAAGTTTGGGGCACTCCATCGAAAGAGAGTGCCCACGGGTGATCCTAATATTCCACCAGATGTGGAGAAAGCGAAGCGCGTTCGGCAAAAAAAGGCGGAAAGAGCCGACAGTGGCGATGCCGAGTTTACCGAAGACATTTTAGAAGAATCGATTCCTGATCATTCGTCAGGATCAGGTATCGCGCCGATATTTTGGACTGACGACGAGACAGAAGGTGCGGGAGCTCTTACAGCCGTAAAGGAGCGTGAAGAGCAAGGGAGCGAAGACGGGCGCGCATTTGCCTCTACGTCTGCGGACATAGAAGTTGAAGGGACGCAGAACAATGCTGCTGCGCTGCCTAGTTTAAACTCTCGTGGCATGTCACCAAGACCACTTGTTCGCAAGAGAAGCTGTCTGTCAGGAGACGTGCCAAAGTCTGGGGTTGACCATATCCTTTCTTTGATAAAAATGTCAATGCTACAGGATCAAACGCGAAGAGCAGATAAGCTGGCGCAGAGGGAGCTGGATAAACTGGAGAAACGGCAGAATAGGGCGGAAGAGAGGTGGCGAAAGGAGAAAGATCGAGTTGATGAAATTGCTCGACGGGAGGAGGAGAAGTCGCGTCGTGAAGCTGAGTCCAGGCGGCATGAGCAATTTATGCAGATCATTCCGCTCAGCCTCACACAGTCCTCCCAAAAGCGATCTAAAGACGTGCCGGATACCGATCCTGAACCATAGCTGCAATGACAAGCAGACCCTGGCGCAGTAACACCGCTCCGAAACGCCTCGCGAAATGGCAAAACAAATCTCCGTGATGCCGATGTGTTTAATGTGGATCACCGAGCATGCAAATGAGAACGATCTCAGGGGCCCGCACTTGACCTGAGAAATATGTTCGCTTCCGCGCCAAGATGTGGCATGTAAGTGGACATAATTTGGTTGATACCCACCAGCCTTGTGCGAAAGTTGAAGAACAACACACTGCACAATAAAATGATTTTCCTCTCGCCTCTTTCTTCGTAGAACATTCGGTCTTTCAGTCGAGGGAAAGTCCGTTTTATTGCCCTCATTCCCCACTCTGATGCCTGCCGTGCCGATGTCGCCCGCCGTGCAGCGATCACCTCCTCTCGACCTTCCGAATTTGCCAGTGGGTCCTGACTCGACTTTATCAAAAAGGGGTGCTCTCCTCTTGAGAAAGCCGAGTCCACCACACACATTCCACCTGTTCTATCATAAACCGTTCGCAGCTTGGAATATATGTTACCCCAATCTGCAATTTGGGAGTCGTGCATAGCACCAGGTGCATTTACTGTACATGCAATTATAACCCGACTTGGGGCGAGTACAAACACGTTACCAACGTAGTGGTCGTGTGTCCAGCCATTGTAGAACATATTCTGAATAACAGTGTCCCCTGCTTGCTCTAGATAGAGCTTTAGTCCGTCGGCAAAAGCGTAAACATCCGAGAGCATAGAATATTTCGCCGCAAATGCTTCCTTGTAGGCTCTCACCTCTTCATCATTCGGCATTCTGACCGCAGCGAGTGGGTCCATGGATAAAACCTTCATTAAAATCCTGCGACCAAACCTAACAAAGACAGAACAAACGGACGCGGTAACTCCAAACAGAAGACAAAGAACCATCTCTGATCCCCTTGTGCGCCACCAACAGAGCACCAAACCTAGACATTGCTGTGAAGTCAATGTTCGCGGCCGTCCGCGCCTTACATTGCGCAACGACAATAAACGAATCACTCCGTCAGCAGTGTAAGGAGTGTACCTGTCGTACTGTTGTCTGAAGCGCGCCAAAAGATGTGAAAATGCTCTACGGTCAAGCCCCACGAGGGTGATCAGCGACTAATCACACCCGGAACCAAACAGAAGGGCAAAGGGAGAAACAGAAGGGTGCTGAAGGGCTCTTCTCGTAATGCGACGGTCCCTTCGTCTTCGCCCTTGCGCTGTCAATTGTCTTTGAAATGCCGTTCTTTCGCCACTGGTTTGGCATTGAAGGAGATGGAGCAAAAGGAGCGCGATGGTCGGGCTCTGCATGGCTATCGTGAGAGGTTTGATGGATGTGGTGGCTGAGCACTGGGTCAGCGTGGTGTATGATCAAATGCAGTATTGCTTTGAAATGATTGGAGGAGGATGGATTTCTGATCCAGCATGGTTTTTTATTTCTGCTACGTCGTAGTTTGTGTGTATGATTTTAGTGACCCCATAGCGTGACGTACACACAAAATGTGATTTGTGTATCAGTCACAAATTGTGATTTTCGGAATGACCCAATAAAGATGTAATGTATATGATAAGGTACACATTAAGTTAAACAAACGGCAATCACCGGCATACACCGATGGTGTAAGTAAAGAGACGTTAAATTAAAACAAAGGACAGCTTACAGTTATAACGCCACTTACAGTAAATGCTTGCTCCGTATAATTCCCGAGTAAACCTTTATTCGCAAGCAGATTAACATTTACTCGGTGTCGAGTTGATGGTTGCGAGTAAATATTTACTCCTTAACATTCCGGGGTAAACATTTACCTGCAACCAGGTTAACCTTTACTGTATGGCCTTTAATGGCTTACGAGACATGTCATGCAGTCATTATAAACTGAGTAACATGTGATTGTTTATTCGACGATATGATATCGAGTATAGGTTTACTGTTCCTCGCTTTGCTTGACAGTTAACGTTTACTTACAGATAAAAGCGCGCGAAACCGGAACAATCCTCTCGTAGTGCTGCGAACAGTTCGATTTTTAGGTTCCATATAAAAAAGAACCCGAAGTTTTCTTATATCGAGCGCCCACCATCATTCTCACCGACGTCACTCTTTTGTTTTCTTGTGCGTTGGTTTTTTCGAAATCGTCACTCTTTTGTTTTCTTGCGCGTTGGAGTCTTTCACACTTGACCGCTTGTTGTTGTCAAGAACGGGTGTGGTATGTGTCGCTCTGTGTTTCGTTTTCTAGACAGACAAATCCGGGATCTGACATTTCGACTGATTTTTTAGCCTACGAGTTGTGTCTGACCGACACGTGCAGACAGGAAAAATACCGCAATCTGCGTCCGTCGAGGCCGACAGGACAGAGTCGACCCCTTACGGGGTCGATCGCCAGGTGAGAAATCTGACCTTGGCGGGGCTATAGCCACAGCGGATGAGCCCGCTGGAGCCTTCGATACGCGTCAAGAAAGGGAGCCCTCGGCAGAAAAAGAAAGCCTCAGAGGCGTGGAGACAACTCAAAGTGGCCCCACTTCCACAACCCCTTTTTCGCTACACGTCCAGTCCCAGTTCTAAAGCCCGCAAGTTCTTACAGAGCGCAGTACGAGTCTGTTGAGGCTGTGGGGCTATCCCGCTGTCAAGCACCAAACGAAGGATGACAGGCCCTCTCCGAGATTCGCTTCCCCAGTGAAACGAAACGCCGCCGCCCTTGCATGTAAAGGCCTCCATGCTGTCCTTTCTATGAAGTGGAAGTAAGCAATGATATCTTAAACGAAAACATAGCCTGAACTTTATGTGGAATGCAAGATCATGTATCCCCTTTCCTACGCCTTTGAATGCATGGACTATGCGCTGTGACGCGTTTGCGGAAAGCAGTTCCAAAGATTTCGAACCTATTCTCATTATGAATGCGGAATCCTATTTCTAGCATGCCGCCTAGTAGTAAAATGGTTCCGCTCGCTGTGCGAAAACCATGTGCAAATCGAGCTGTCGGTATGGCATGCTCATATTGAGTTTAGCGCCCCGAACAATTGGCTGCCAAACACACAAGTTGATACTGTCCTTGCATCACGTGCAGGGCCTTCCCGGGGGCGCAGCAGGATCTGAAATGTTCA